TAACACACAATAATTTTTCTATAATTAAAATCCATTAAAGGATTGTTAGGCTGCATTAATTAGGTCACCAAGACCTCGTCGGCCATCGGCACGAGACCACGAGAACCAGAAGAGTCCTCTGATCAATCTGATGTGCGTTGCAGCCTGGAATTAAACCACACCATGCTGGCTTCGTCTGACCAGAGAAGAACTGGCCCCCCGACTGAGCCTGGTTTCTCCCAAGGTTTTTTTTCTCCATTTCTGTCACCGATGGAGTTTTGGTTCCTTGCCGCTGTCGCCTCTGGCTTGCTTAGTTGGGGACACTTCTCCATTTCTGTCACCGATGGAGTTTTGGTTCCTTGCCACTGTCGCCTTTGGCTTGCTTAGTTGGGGACACAATTTCTGGCAACATTGTTGACTTTACTGTACAGACACTATTGGAAGAGAACTAAACTGAGCTGGACAATGACATCACTGAATCAACAATGAACTGACTTTAATTGATAAACTGTTTTCTATTGTCCTCTTGCATTATCAGCACATGTTTTTCCTGTTTAACACTGTAAAGTTGCTTTGACACAATCTGTATTGTATAAAGCGCTATATAAATAAAGGCGACTTGACTTGACTATGGCATCGCTGTAGAAACGCCCTTTTGGAACCTTTATTTTTTGATGTCATTGAAGTTTGTGTGTCTTTTAACATTGACATATGTCATGAATGAGATTTGACAGCCATGTCAAAGACTTTCAGAGAATAACTTTAGTTTGGGTCCATTTCTCACACAAGATCATATGACTTAAATAGAATTTAAATAGTTTTAATAGGTGTTTGTAATTTTTGGAGTTTGACAACCCTCGATATGGAAAGTGTCAACATGAACATCCATTTCATTCATTTTATTTTCCACGAAAAACAAAGACAGGTTTGAAACAAAATGAGGCTGAGTAAATGACGACAAATTTTTCATTTTCTGGTGAACTGTGCCTAATAAAACATCTGACTTAATAGTATTAATAATAACACATCTGTCCCAGTCCTAAGGCCTTCAGAATACTTTTTGTCAAAGCAAAGGTTTTAAATTGCTCTGGGACTTTATTTTTTATTTTTTTTATTTTTTGAGCTGATGAAAACCAACGCTCATTCCACCAAGGGTGCAATGATACAAAGTAGTAGTGAGACTGTCTTGGGGCTCTTTGCTTCTCTCAAAACAGCAATAACCATAAAGATAACTACAACACTGGAGCTCTTGTGTAGACTGAGACACTGATAGTCATGGTAACAGAGATACAGGAAGTGAGGAGAGCATGGTATCAGTATGGTACCACCCTATCAGTATTACAGCCGTGTACCAGTCTCCACGGTCAAAGTTTAGTGAAAGTTTCCTGATATGATTCACAAGTTAGGGGGTAGTAGAGATCCTGTAGAGATACTGACTAAAAGTTTGCCTGAAAAGAAGCTGCAAAAACAAAGGAACAAAGCCTTATAAATCTCTGTGTTATGCGCCTGGTCGCTATGGCAACGATCATAACAGGACGCTCTCATTCTCTCTCAGATAATAATAAAGGAGAAATGACTTCAGCACACAGTTCACCAGACACTGAGGTCGAAGAGAGAAAACAGGCCACACAGAATTAGAATTGCAGGCTGCTGTGGAAGAACCAGGTGACTAATAAGGTATTTTACAGACCGTAGAAAGTATTTGGGCACTTAAACCACTTAAAATGTAAGAATGACACTGCATTATATAACAAAATGTCAAACCAAGTGGCAATTATTGTTAAAAAAATTTTTATTTTTATTTTTAAATAATACATATAATACACATACACACACATAAATATAGTATGAAGTCAGTAAGAACTGTTTGAAGAAATTAATACTTTTATTCAGCAAGGATGCATTAAATTGGACAAAATTGACAGTGAAGACATTTATAATGTTCCAAAAGATTTCTATATCAAATTATGTTCTTTTGAATGTTCTATTAATCAAATACTCCTAAAAATATTTTAATATTAATATTTAATTTCTGCAAAAATATTAATAATATTTCTTAAGTGCCAAATCAACATATTAAAATGTTTTTTTTTACAAACATATTTTAATCAAAACATATAAAAAAAATTTGTTCAGTTTAAATTGATAAAACAACAGATATATTACAACACAACAATTATTAATATATTATAGCATTTAGGGACTTTCTGTGTTCAAGTTCAAGTGCTGCTTTTGCAGTTGTGGCTCCTAGGCTGTGGAATGCACTTCCAGTTGGTGTGAGATCCTCCCCCACATTGGACACATTTAAATCTAGATTGAAGACTCATTTATTCTCTTTAGCCTATGGTGTTGCCCGAGTTACATATGGGGGTTTTCAGTTGTTTATGGCTTATCTGCATGTTTTTATTTTTATCTTGCCAGAAGCTGTTTTCAATTGCACAGCACTTTGGTACAACACTTTTTGTTATAAATAAACGTGAACTTGAGCTTGAACACTTTCTGTGTCCAAAAATGTTAGTGAAAAACATCTAAATCAATATTTGTTTGCATAAAATATCTAATGAAATGACATTCAGATATTTTTACATGTGACAAAAGTGTAAAAATACTTTAAGTCCACTGCATCACTTACTTTCTGTGTCAATAACTATGGAAGACAAAATACAATCAAAATGATGCATCTCTATCCTCAGATCATAAATGACAACAAATGTGTATTTTCTGCTTCCTCACCAATCTGTTCACTATCACAACTTTATTTCTGCCCCCAGGTTTTTTTCCTTAACAAAAAAAAAAAAAAAAGTCATGAAGAACCAGCTATATTTTATCTCTGTTAACAAGAAAATGAAATGCAATGACCGATATTAATCTGAGTAGATCAGATGCTCATTAAATCACCGTCTTTCCTACAGCCTCAAAGCCTGCAGTAAAACCTCTGACGTCACGTGTGCAGGGAGGTTTAGCCTGTAGTTGCATAACTGCACAGCCATGCCAGAATATACTGACAGAGCACAGATGGCACCCTATGATGTCAGAATACTATACCAAAAAGCCCTTAACCAATCAAAACCGAGTACTTTAAAGTACTTTGCCAGTAAATGTAGCAAACATGACAAGAAAAACAAAGATTGAAAGAAAACGTTTATTCCCATAATAAACACATACAGTACATCATCTCAACAAAATGTACAAAGTGCAATATGCATTGAAACTACAGCAAATCTGCAGTACAAAGGACAAAATTACTGCATACTTAATAGCGATAACAATGGTGACAGAATGAGGATCGAGCACTCCCTATTTTGTGAGCCTCGCAATTTAACAGCATTGCTAATTCACGAAAAAGAGGCTCAATATCCAACTAGAGGAAAGTCAATGGATGATTTGGGAGCAGACCAGTGTAACATTCTGAAAAAAAAAAAAGCCACTATCACAATCTCTCCCAAGCAAATAGCTTGAATCTACAGCGATTTTAATATTGATTCTCAATGCAAAACTTTGGTTATCACTTCATACTTGAATAGCATAAAATCTTTCCTCGCTCCTTTGGAAAAAAAAAACCCTCTAAAACTTGGCAACTCTAACAGCTTTCATGAGTTTGCAATGTCTTCCTCGTTAATTAAAAGGAAATAATGCCAAGTATCAATGATACGTTTCTATTTTCTCTAATACAACAATACAATTTAGGAGTGTAGAACAAGAAAATGTCTGCCAGTTTTAAAATGTGCCCATGTAACCCAATGGCCTCTGCCTTAACTGGCAACATTATCAAATGGGAGTCACCACAGAACACTGCCTCTAGTGCTTCTGGGTAAGGCACTTGATGTTGATGACACAAGACAATGCAGGCAACCAATAACATTTAATCTGTAATCTCTGACTCAGGTTTGACCTCAATATGGCATCAGACACAAAATGACAAAGACTTCGGCGAGAGGAGGAGGGTTTGGGGCACATTTATGAAGGCTGCAAGTAACTGTTCATGACACTAAACAGCTTTCTGGCTTATTTATCCTCTCAGTTTTTATACTCAGGGCCCAGAAGGAAGATTAAATAGTGTTGATACTCATTCAATCAACCAAAATCATTCAGGCAACCATCTACTGTAGGATAGGGGAACTGATCCAAGTTGCCTTTCAGATGCAAGTACCATGAACTCCCAGAAATTCTGTTATATGACCAACAAACATATTTAAATACGGTGTATTGCTGTGTGTGTGTGTGTGTGTGTGTGTATATAGAGGTGGAGACCGTGTGTATACTATGAGCCTGCTCATGTTTTTAACATTAAAGTGCACACACGTTCTCTGAAAGGGTTTTGTGTTCAAAATAGTTCACAGTAATGGTATAGCCGCTGTGCAAGGCAACGCTCACTCGCACACACTCACAAACTTCACATTTCCGTTGTTCAAACTCAATGTGGTAGCATAGATACGTGTACAAAATCCATAAAAAAAAAATATTGGAAAAGTATGCTGCATAATAAACCTCAAGTACTTCAACTCAAGCTTTAATTGGCCAACTGATTGGTAAATAAAGGTCTACTGACACTTGGACATGAACAAATGTCATGAAACAGCTGGATTGATGCATTTATCAAAGCTTTTGTGATCACATAAACTGGTATGGCAAGTGTCAAAGAAACAAACACACAAAGGAAAATCTCACTGTCAAGAACATGTCTGGGACATTTTTCAACCCGAATATCAAATAAAATCGATAAAATCAAAATTAAGAAATAATATTTTGCTTAAAATGATTCCTTTTTTTCCCCACTTGTTTTTCAATTTAAATAACGTCACTTCTTTTTACTATATTGAAAAATTATATATTATTGATTTATTTATAAATTCGAAATTTTGTTGTATGGCTTTTATTTTATACCAATTTAAAAACATTTGTATTATTGTACTACAGTATTTTTATAACACTGCATTAATCAGAATCTAAAGGGAATCATCATTGTGATTGACGGGAATTTTAAAAAAATACAAGTAAAACATTTTTAAAATGGTAATGATAATAAAAATATAATTTCAGTTCCTAAATACAAAATATAATTTCTTATATTTCTCGTTTGATTTTGGGGCAAAATGTAACCTGGACATGCTTTCATGAGATTTTCCCATAGAGATACACACACTCAGAGGTGAACAGCTGTTGAAACCATGACATATCTTTGACTTGTGTTGTATTATCTTGTTTCAGAGCATTCTTCAGTTCTACTTCTGTATAGATTTGGTTCAAAAGGCCAATCTACCTTACTTTGATTTCATTATGGAAAACTGACAGCAAGTACAAACAGGACAACGCGTTAGAACAGGAGACATGTAACAAATAACAGTCGTTCCTTAACTGGGTAAATGACTGATTTGTATCACATTTGGAAACATGGAGCAGCTGCTCTGCTAGAGAAACTACAGTGGAGGAGCTCCCGTTGATATCAAATCTTTACAAGTACATGTATGTGCTAGAGACTGTTACAGTAATAGTGACCCAAACATTACCCAAAAGTCCTACTGCTATTTTGACAGCAACATGGACAGTCACATTCATAAGAATAGCAACTGCATGTATGAACGTTTCAGCGGAAGGAGAACAGCAGCTTGAAGTCGCCTCTGATTTTCTTTATCCTTCAAAATGATTGTCTTTCATCACCCTCATCAAGTATCCGAAAGAAGAATCCCAAACAGATCTCCTCTTTCCCAATGAGTCTCCACACAGTCTGCGCTGTGTGCAAACACTGAAGTGCTGCCAGTCACCCTGTTTCGTTATCTGCCTGGCTTATGAACAGTACTGTATTGGTATGAGGTATTAGTTTGAAACCTGTGAGTGAATCATCAGTGCTCTGTGAATGATAAAAAAGTCAATCAGCACTCAAAGAACTTTCCTAATCACTGCAAAGAGTCCATTTCCTTTTACCGTCCAGCCAGGAAGCGAGAACAGAGCAGGGTGTATGATTTGAAAACCCTTTTCAAATGTGTGACCATGTCCGAAAGAATCTGTGACTCAAACAGGGCCACAAATAAGGTGATTCATGGTGTGATAAATGGGTGGGCTGATGGAAAAATTACACAATGGTCTATTTTGATGCTTTCAAGTAATGGCCTCTGGGATGCCGAGTGCTTATTTTGCTTCAGGACAGCAGAGAGGAAGTGAAGTGAAAACCTCATGAACTGTTCATCAGTCAGTGCAATACACATCCATTTGGGTTCCATGCAACGAAAGCCTGTCCAGAAGATTTTGGATTCATTGAATATTATGTTTATATTCATAACAGAAAGCGATTCTTTTGTAGAAGACACTCTTCCACTCACATTCACTCTTCTGTGAATGGCCGATGTTCCCAAGTGGCTGAAATGTTTAAAAAATATATAAGTATAAATATCTCAGAGTAACATTGTTGCAGAACTACAGGTGAAGCTGAATCACCTGCTGTCAGCTCTTGGACTCTTCAGGTCCTGCTTCAGCTTGGTTGAAGGCCTCCATGTTTGTGGAGGTTGAGGAGGTGGAAGAGGGCCCAGGTCTGGCCCATTCCGGGCTGAGTGAATGCTCGGGTTCTGGGGACAAAGAGAGCATGAGAAGGGTCCCTGCATCAGAGGAGCACACCGAGCACAAGTCTTCAGACGAGAAGGTTAGGCTGCCCAGTTTGGCGAGTGAGTTGGAGCGCTTCAGTCGAGAAGGTACAGTAAGTCCTGCAAGTCGCATCCGGGCTTCGATTTCTTGCGTACGTTGACGCACAAGGCCCGGTTTGCCACGGACGCTGCGGAGGCTGTCGCTGCTGGAGCTGCGGGTGAGCGTGGAGCCATGCGGGGACGAGACTGGCGTCAAACCACCCGAGCCGAGGACCGCTAACAAGGCCTCGTTCGTCAGTGGCACCGCCACTTCGGTAGTGAAATCTGCCCGTGTTCCAATGGGCCTGTTGAGAGGGCCGGTTGAATCAGTGGAATTGTTCATTGCATCCTTGGATTTGATTGAACCAGTTCCCCGTTGCTCATTTGCACGTGCACGCTCCTGAAAGAGACCGGAAAGTTTTTCCAAGCGCTCTTTTCGGCGGCGAACAAGGCCGGAGCGTTGCAGCTGTACCAGAGTCTCTTGTTGTTGTGGAGAACAAGACGCCTCTGCCTTCTCCAAACCCTTTATCTCTCTTTCGTTCCTGAGTAGAGCAGAGGAACCCTGTGCATCAATCTCTTTCTGTTCAGAATCTCCTTCCCCTTTGGCTTCAAACAGTAGTGTCCGGTTATCAGTTTCCTGGTCAAGAGATTTGCTTTCTGGCTTATCTTTATGCCCTAAGGACATTGCATTGGCATCAAGGCACGGATCTGAGGCAAGTTTGCCATTCTTGGCTGTGACGGACAAGTTGGCACAGGGTGGTGTCTGAATTGAGATACTGGGCACACTGCTGAGGGGTAAAGGGGCAAGGCCTCGTCTGTTAGCCTCCAACACAGCAGTCTGGGTGGGCTTGGAAGCGAATGACGAACCAGGAGCAAGCCTCGGCTTAGCATGCTGCTTCAGATGGGCACTTTCCTGAACAAGAAAAGACAAGAAAAAACAATGTAACAGAAATAATATGTAGTGGTGCCGTGATAGAATCATGTGAGATACTCACAGTGAGATTTTGTTGCGTTCTGAGGTGGTTGTTGTTGTTTGAGTTCTCGTTGCACAGATGGTTCAGGCTTGCGAGATCAATCCCCGTTTCATTCGACAACTCCTCACTATCTTGCCGTCCTCTGTCATTCCCATCTCCTCTCTTCACTCCCTCTGTTAATGCCTCCATTTCAGCTTGCTCTTTCTGAGCCTCATCCTCATCCTCTTCTTCCACCGTGCTGAACTCCAACCGTAGACGTAGCTCCTCCAGAGGCTCCGCCCCTCGAGAACAGGTCTGAGCAGCTGTGCCCTCTCCTGGGACACCGAAGTGTGGTAAAGGAAGGCCTTCACGCCCCTCAAAGGTTTCATCATCAAGAAGCGCATCTTGCTCCACATCTGCAACCTCGATGTAGACACGATCTACATCCACCAGAGGCGGTGCATGGATCGGCGTGGAAGTTTCACTGTCGAGGGCTGAGTCTGACAGGCGACGGAAGTAGTACTGGTAGTTTTGCGGGTGGCTGGGGTCCAGATCTAAGCTAATTGGAGAGGAGTGGGCGGTAGGCTCACAGCATACGGTGACCCTGGGGTTTGTGGGGTCTGGGGTGACATGATCCACAGTCTCAGAGTTCACACAGCAAGGGGAAGCTGCTTGCTGGCAATCAGGGTGATCGCAATCTGAATCAGGATGCCACAGACGGTTATGACGCTGCTTACTGAAGGGAAAAAGTATAGAAAGGGTTAAAAAATGATTAAAGGGAAAGTTCACAAAACTGAAATTCAAATAGGGTCCAACATTGGACCCTACTGAGTTTCATTGTATGAAAATAAAACATATTTTTACACCGTAGAAACGTGTATGAGTAAATGATGACAGAATTTTAGTTTTGTGGGTGAACCTTTAACTAGAAATACACATACCAAACTACAATAATATAGGAAATTTCTCTTGTACCTGGCATCCAGTATACCCTCATACTCCGCCAGCTGTCTCATGAAGCTAGCATTGGGACGGGTGATACTGCGCTTCTGTTTGACGAAGTTGTACGCTTTTTCCAGAGACCAGCCGTACTCTTTCATGGCATATGCTATTACCGTAGAGGCCGAGCGGCTTACGCCCATCTTACAGTGAACCAAACATTTGGACTGATTCTTTCTGCAGAGTACAGAACATGAGGGTATAAAAAGTCACATTGAAAGAGTCAAGTATGTTGCTTATATTTAGAGAGAAAAATCTAAAATAGAGCCTTACTTTGCTTTGACAATGAAGTTGTAGGTCTCGTTCCAGTGAGCGAGTAAGTCTGTGGTCTCGTTGTCATACACTCGGACATTATGATAGCAAAATGTTCCTGGGAAAAAGTTATCTATTTCCCTCGTAACATTTAAGATGTAGCCCACCCTAAAACAGCAATGCATTTAGAGATCGCATAAATTACATCTGGACAACAATAGAAAACCATATGCATGCAAGTTTATTCTTATTCCTTACATCAGGTACTAAAATACACCCTGTTTCTTGCTGTAAAAGAAACAGCTTTGATGGATTTACTCTGAACTTTATCTGAAACAGGAGAAAATGCTGCCCTTTAAGAGGTGATACGATACACACTCACCTTAAACTTTCACCTTTACCTAACATTACCCCATTTAAAGAAGCAGTATCTTGAGAGAAACAACAGCATGGGAAGAAAACAAGCTGTGGATGTCAGTAAAGGTAGGGGTAAAACTCACTCACCCAGTTTCCTGAAGCTCCTCTAGATTTGAAGCATTCCATTCAGAACCCTAAAAGATAAACAATGCAAATCACTGGCTTTTAGGGAAATTGGCATCTAGTGCCCCATATCTGACAAAAACTATCTGCCCTGCTATAGAACTAACAAGCTTTTTACATTAAACCAATTAAATTTCCTTGACAAACTTTTCCCCCATTTTAATTTGTATTTTATTTGTACTTATTTAACTGATGTAATTTGTCATATTTGTATCTTTTGGATAAATTATTTATTTATTTTGGGGTAGGATGACCTAGGGGAAAGGCAATAAAAAGAGGGGGGGAAACAATGGGAATTGGCAGGTGTGATAAAAGCAGCACTAACCAGATAGAGGTGGTCAAAGATGAGCGTGGCTTTGTCCATCTGCCCAAGAATAAGCAGCATCTCATTATCAATGAACTCTTTGTACTCTTTCAGGTTGCAGTTCATCTGTTGCTCTAGCTCATTACGAATCTAAAGAAAAACACACATCATTATTGACTTAATCTCAGCACCTTAATCTGCGCTAGGAACTGCGCAATGATATTACGCAGCGCCTGAAAATAGGCTTATTGGAAGTTACCTAGCTGGGGACTATTTTCAAGCGCTGCGTAATATCATTGCGCCTGCTGCACCCATGGTACGGCAACAAAGTTCCTTGATTATTACGCCGGAATGAGAGTATAGTTCAGGGGAGTTGGAAAATTAGCCTATTTTCAAAAATAATGGCGTGTTCCTTTAAGATCCATCTCAGACAATCTGATCACAAGAGGTCAGCCGAGACACACTGCAGGGTCCTGTGGCTCCTGTGACCACTTATGATCAGATTTTGAGGAGGAGGGTCTGTTGTGACGTCACACAGTATGTCAGTGTGTAACTGTGTGTTGATAACACTTTTTATGACCTCTCTGCGCTTCATACTGACCTCTTTGGACGTGACATTTTCAAGGTCCTGGCACATCATGATACTCCTGAGTTTAGCTTTGATTAAACATTCTGTTCTTTCCCTCTCTGTTGGCCTGAGGAACAGAAACGTAACACAACCTAAATCAAGGGTTTAAGAAAGAGCATCATTTTAAGGTGAAGGGAACAATTTTATTTACTTACTTTTTTATTATTATCTTTTTTATTATTATCATAATTCATAAAGTCAAAATTACATTTATACAATAAACAGATAAAACATGTATTCGGTTTCATCATAGCTCTTCCATTCTTTTTTCCAAATAAAAAAGAAAAAATATATAAACAAAAAATATAAAAAGCATGTATGAGAAAACATACAAAAAAAGCCCGAAAAAAAGATGCAGATGACCACTGATTATTAAACAGATCAAATATTAGATTAAACTGTGACAACATTTAACAAATATGTCTGACTTTTACGCATGGTCTCAGTGCATGGTCACAAAAGAAAAAAAATCCCTTCCAAAAAACTATTCAAAATGTTAATTTAAATCTGCTGGTGGGTTTCACAAGTGCCAAGGACTCTGGGCTTTCAGGGTTTGCACTCACTTGTTAACAAAGACTGCAGGAGAGTCGGGTCGCAATGTTTCCAGGTCCAGCATGGCGTTCCACTCGTTGATGCAGCTCTGTTCTGAGCTGATACAGCTCTCATAGTACCCCATCCATGTGAGTGCCATGCCACCGGGGAAATAGTTGTACCTTCGTGACACCTCACATGCCTTGTGTAAAATCTGCAGTGCTGACCTAAAGGAAAAGCAGGTTAAAGGTTGTTTAAATATGGGTGAGTTTAAATTATCATGATGTGATCTTAAAACGGATCAAACTATATCTCAAACTGAGTGAAGTAAACTGACATTGGTGAAAGAAAACTTTAATCTCAGTTGATTCAAAAATGCATTGAATTCGATAATCATAACTGTTTGTCCACTAAGCAGTACATACCAAAAATACCTTTCTGGACAGCATGTTGGAGTTCCATATAAATACCATAATATGTGGTTATGGCGTCACTTTAAACATGGTTTATATCAAATACCATCTGGTGATCTGATATTCACTGTACCATGGTACAGCCACAGTACTTTTTTGAAAGTGTCACCAGATGGCAGTGTGGAGCTCTATTATATTTAAGGACGTCAAACTCCCAAAGCACCTGTGAACATCTGAAAAACAGTCCACTCACATCATCTTCAGCCCCCTGAGGAACTGTTTTTTTTTTTTACCCCAGTAACAAACAAGAGCACAAATTCACCCAGCCAAGTAGACAAAGGCTCTTGTTGGAAAAAACTAATTAACTTGTCACCTAATTGGGAGAGATGACTGTAGGATTTATCATCGCATGAAATACTGTTAAAATAGCAGTTCTGAGTGATTGTCTGAAGTTGTTTGGAAGCTTTAGGCTAATCACTTAAATTATCACATCAATCATTTAAAAACAGATTTAACAAGTAAAACTAGAAAAAAGTGACCCAAGAAGACCCAATATAGAACATGAACACAAATCATTCTATATATCAGCATTTCCACTACAAACTGAAATGTCTAAAATGTGAGTTTAAATTGCTCTAGTTCATTATTTATTGATGCTATTTTCTCACCACATGGCCTGGACTGACACTGGCTTGAAGATGTGTGTGTGCCCGGCAGTAGTCACACTGAAGCCCCTGGAGACATGAGAAGAGAGGTTAAATAAGGCCATCATCATACGTCATTACAATAGAACTACAACCTCTCTAAATAACAATAAAAAATAAGAAATACTTGTTAATATTGTCATTGGCTTCATTTTCTGAAAAATGAATTCAGCACGGTTTATAATCCACGCTATCTACATCAGTGCATCAAAATTTGAAGTGTCATCAGACCAGCAGCAGCATTTCCTCTCCATTCCCAGAGGGGGCAGTACTCACCCATCACCATCTAAATGAATCTTGGTGTCACTCCACAGTGGCAGCACCATCCCAATAGAGCAGTTCTTACTGTAAATGAAAGAAAAACTCCCTTATTTGACAATGTAATGTCCCTGCGGGAGGTAACAAACTCTTAAACTTGTCTTTTTGATGATAAAACTGTATTTGATTTTTAAGTCACCTGTCTTTGTTGCTGAAGTCCATGCCCAGTAAGATGTTTTCCTCAGTGTCTTGACGGCCATTTGTGTAGACTACCACCATGTACCGCACACGGTCTGACCACGCGCTCTCTAACCGCACCGCCTGCGGATTACAGTTGATTGACACAAGTTTGGTTTGTGTAAAACCAGGGCCCACATAAACACATATACATGCAAAAGCACAATTTATTAAACATATTAACATACTGAACTGTAGAATAGATTACCTGAAAATGTCAAATTCGGTCATTATTCACTCACCCTCATGTCATCTTTCTCTCTATGTAAGACAACAGGAGCATTTTGAAGAATCTTCACACAACTTTTTTCCATGCGTCTGTCAAGCTCGTCAAACATTGTGCACTATATATTAACTCTTCAGAAGCAGTGGATATATATATATATATACTCAAATAATGTCAGTTTGATGATGTACAACTTTGTTTTTAGTGTTTTAGGATCTTAATTACAATTGTGTTAATGTTACTAAATTTAAATATTTTTATTTACTTATTTGGGCAACCTTGGAAGTTTGGCGATGCCCTCCAGATGGCCCCGGGCCCCTGGTTTGAGAACCACTATTCTAAAGTCATAAAGTCATTGCTTTGTGTGAGGAACAGACTAAAATTTGACATTTTTGATAACCGATGATCCCACCGGTGCTCAAATGGACTTAAAAATGGACTTCCAAGAATGACGCTCAATGCCATTTGACACCGAATGTCACTGGTTTTTGTGGTCAAACGTGATTGATGTCATATTTGAGAGCTATACCAGAAGGGAAAATTTTAAGTATATAATAATAATAAAAAATGTGTCTCTTAGTCTTGGAATTTAGCCTATGAGTCATACTGAACCACTTTTATTATGTTTTTGCCACCACGTCATCGATGCTTCAAAATTCTTTTGTTGTGTTGGGATTGGAATGTCATGAGGTTTAGTGAATAGTGACAGAATGTTCTTTTTGAAAATAAATCCAGCTGCATGCACGTCATAGGTGACTGACACTAGTATTAATATAGATTTCATCATGGAACCTTCTGAAACAGCAGGTATGACATTTTAACATGTCTTAATAGAAAAGAAAACAGTCTTCAGGCAACACTTTGACAACGAAACCCATTCAGCCTGACTGCATATAACTTACTGCCAAAATGTTAGTAATTGACAACGTGTGTTCTCTCACCAATTTGATGCGGTCTTCAGAGCGAAGAATGTTGATCATCACCTGTAGATGCTGAGGTAAGTCACCTGTTGAGTGAAACCATCATTACAATCCAAACAAAACCATGACGACTACTTTGTTTACATCGACACCAGCGGCGTCTCAAACCCTTAACGAAATCTATTGAAGAAAAACAACCAGATAACTAACGGTGATGTCATATGGTTGAGTATAAAAGTCAAGGTTTATAAGAGAAGCCGAGCCAAGAAGAATGCCTGATGAGTGATTCAAATCAGTCCTTAAATGTTGGGTGGGAAGACAACAGTATGCATGCTTTTGATTAACGTTTTTACAGCACTGCTGATTTTACGATATTCCAGAGAACAAAGTGTACAAATACACAGTTAATGTAGAAAGATATGAGAAATGAGTTGTTTCTTATGTTTACATATCTCAGATAATCCTATTTAATTCAACGATAAAGCTTGACATGAATAAGCGACTTTCGGGTGCATTATGATCAGGTATGTGCAAATAAGTTCTATCCTTTGTGCCAAAGATGTCAATAATTATAAATCTGACAATCTGACAGTCATCTTAATCTAGCCCCTCCCCTTTTAATCCAAGTCAATAAGAGAAACCAAGTATTGGATACACAAGATCTGTTTATATTTCATTCTCCTCTTTAACACAGACAGACTAACTCCTTTGACCACTGACTGTGGTGCGTTCCTACACAAACAAAGCTCCTCCTACTCTTGTAAGTTTTGGCAGAATCCATGAAGCTATCATGTAACTGGTGTAGGACGTGTGGAAGGCCAATCAAATTGTACGAGCAGGTTAAGAAGAACAAAGCCAAAAACGTGAAAAACATATAAACTCAAAGCTGAAGAGCCAAAGCCTGTCATGTACACTCAACAAAACAGATGACGTAGTCTGTGGTTTATTGGCTGCTTTGCATTCGAGCCATAAATGAAAAAAAAAAAAAAAACAGGGTACGTTTTCTCCTCCAAAAAACAAGCCCCTTGGTTTTCTCGGTCTCAATGCAAAGAATTGACCTAACTTTACATGCTTATCTGATAAAAACTGATATGTAAGAGAATAGCTAAGGCAGCGCAGGATCCCAGAGCACAGCTTTGATCAGAGCTATATAAGCTATATTGGAAAGGCATTCAAGTTTGAAACAACATGAGGATGAGTAAATTAGGACAGAATTTGCATTTTTGGATGAGCTATTAGTTTAATGATTATTCTAAACGATTGAGCACAGTTTGACACACAGTTTTCTCCACCAGTTATGATTTTGGCAGCGATTCATCATTTAATTTCAGGAGTTTTGTCATGATGAGCCAATCCCTGTGACTGACACTGAAATAGGATGCGGTTAAAATCTAAGTATTCTAGACTTTAGTCTTGAACAAATCTACTCGCAACAATAATTTAAATATAAGGTCAAACAGACACAATTTTATATCTTTTCAAAATTGCACTCACTTTGCACAGTCAAATTGCACAGTAATTTTAAACATTTAAAACAAATTAGCATTTAAAAAATTTCTGAAGGATCATGTGACACGGACGCAGAAAATTCAGCTTTGCCATCATAGAAAAAAAATTACATTTTAAAATATATTAATTTACAAAACAGTTATTTTAAATTGTACTGTAGTAACATTTCACAATATTACTGTTTTTACTGTACCTTACCTTGGTAAGTTTAATAAAAATTTCTGAAGGATCATGTGACATGGACGCAGAAAATTCAGCTTTGCCATCATAGAAAAAAAATTACATTTTAAAATATATTAATTTACAAAACAGTTATTTTAATTGTACTGTAGTAACATTTCACAATATTACTGTTTTTACTGTACCTTACCTTGGTAAGTTTAAAAGACTTACTACTAAAACATAAAATGATTGTGCCGACCCCGAACTTCTGAAAGGTAGTATATTTTCATATGTACATTGAACGCATCTCAAAAGATTAAGAAAAATGCAATTCCTCATGATACGACCATTTTAATTGCCTTTGTGCTTTACTTGGACCTCTGAAGAACTTTTCCTTTATCTCATTATTTCACTCAAAAAGACAAGCAGTACAGGTGCAAATCCACTTGCAAATATTTATGGTGTATCTTGCTTTAGGAAGTTGGACAGTGTTTAATAAACCACCACTGATACTATTTTTGACTGTCTGGCTGCCGGCGCCATGGGAATGCAAATAGAGGTGACTGATGACATCAAAAAAAAACAAAAAAAAAACACTAACAGGACCAAAATAAGATAGATATCTGTGTCATCAACATCTAAAAGCAAGGACATTTAAAGATGTCAGCATGGAGTGAAGATATTTTAGAGCTTAATTTACATTCAAAATGAGTACCAAGGATTGTAGCAAGAAATGTAAGAAGGTCTTGAGGAAAAAAAGCTGAGCTTTTCTCACTTTCAGAGAACATTTTGTACCTAGACTGTAACAAAGGAAGAGAAACCCTACATCGTCTAGTCTAACACAGACATCCGCAGTTTCACAGTGGAGACAGCTGACTTCTCCACCTTTTAGTGCTGTGATGCAATTGTACTTTTTTCAAATCATCTAATTCTTGTAATCTAATTCCAGATCTTCTAGACTGTCTGCATAAGTCACTTCTAGGAAGTCTTTGTCTTGTTCCTCTTGTGATTGATGGGCAGTTGAGTTATTATTCGTACAATGTACAAAAAGCTCATGACTCAAGCGAAGCTCCAACCCCATGTGCCCTGAGGTCAGACTGTATGTAGAAACAAAACCGCTTGTCAAACCTGCAACAACTCACATGTGATTAGCACTACTGAATCGTTCAAACCGGTCAAATCGAAACTTCACGTCCCAACAAGAAGTCAGGTGACAGTATAATATTAGCCAACTGACAAAACAGATGCTTGTTAATGTCAGGGGTTTATAACAGGAAAAAAAGTCAGTCTAAACCTGCTGTGATAGTCAGTGCGTGCATAAAGCCTGAGGGTTTGTTGTGTCTGCATGGTGTTTAGTTTCTCTCATGACAGATTAAATTTGTCCGGAGCAAATGTACACCCTTCTGTTTAGCAGTAAACATGTCCTTTAAATTAGCATCTTTAATCAATTCAACATGTCACACGTGTTAGAAAGTGCTGGACGGATGGGGGCTAGGACATCTGTTTTCATGCATTTATGACATTCCTTGATTGATTGATTGATTGATTGAATGTCTCAGATCAATTGCACAAATGCTTGTTTTTCTAGGAGTGGCTTCGTGTTGTAGTTAAAATCAAAGTCGTACTGTATAAACTACTGTAGTTAAAAACTGTTTGTGAATTGTGTCCTCCAAACTAAAAATGCAATATTATATATTTTAAATATTTGTTGAGTAAAAAAGTTGTCATGTGTTTTATAAGCTGTACATATATTAATTACAATTTCTGTTGGCCAAAACAATGGTTTTATATTTTTGTATATTATATTTTAACATTTCTGCTGTTTAATGAATAACTGTTGTTTTTCATAACTCGCATAACCGTTTTACGGAGTAAATTTTCCTATAATTGGTTGTTTAACTGGCAGATTGTGACAACTTACCCCATATAATGACAAAACATTCCCCACAATTTGTATGCATGTCTAATATATTTTTAAAAGAACACTCCACTATTTTTTAAAATAGGTTCATTTTCCAACTCCCCTAGAGTTAAACAGTTGAGTTTTACCGTTTTCGAATCCATTCAGCCGATCTCCGGGTCTGGCGGTAGCACTCCTTTAATGTTAAGTATGCGTCTATACAGAAAGTATGACAGCCTCTCTACCTTTATGTTCCATTCTCGTTTCAACTGTCCCATAAATGTGACCCTGGACCACAAAACCAATCATAAGTAGCACGGGTATATTTGTAGCAATAGCCAAGAATACATTGTATGGGTCAAAATGATCAAAATTATTATTTTAAAATGATTAAAATAGAATTTTCTTTTATGCCAAAAATCATTGGGATATTAAGTAAAGATCATAGGCAAAATTAAAAAAGAAACAAAAATTTTAATTGAAAAATATTTTAAAAAGGTAACACTTTGTTTTGATGGTCCCCTTTAGACATTCTGTTGACTATAACTTTGCAACCACATGTCAACCACCAGTCATTAGAGTATTATTAGACTGTCTGCTTAATGTCTGCTAACACTTATAAGTATGTCAACTTCCCCCTCTAACCCTAATCTAACGGTCTAATACTCTAATGAGAGTTAGTTGACATGTAGTTGCAAAGTTACCATATAGTCAACAGAATGTGTAAAGGGGACCACCAAAATAAAGTGTAACCAAAAAAAATATTATATTATATTTACATATAATTACATATAATACATATATTTACAAAAACTAAGTAAGGGCAAAAAAAGTGTTTTCTGAACAAACAGGAAAACTGTTAACTCTGTATTAACATATCTGCATCACAAACCTCATAAAACCACCAGGAACCACATAAAACAGAGAGATGTCCCATGTGCCCTGTCTATAAGAAGTGATGTTCTTACAGTGCCAATGTGCTGAGCTAAATTGCTAATCTGGCTAATCCACACACACACTTGTCTGGGACACGCTTAGCCAGCACTGAGTCTGTCCATCAGCCGGACAGCATGTGCTGCCGAATTTCTGAATTTCTCTCTCATGACAGACGCAGCATGCAGTAAAGTCATTCTTAAAAAATTACTATAGTATGGGCGACATTTGACTCTTGAGTCAGGGGGGGCAATATATATGAAATAAATAAATAAAAGCTAAATATTTTTTTTTTCTGATGTAAGCATCAAAACAATGCCCTACCGTATTGCAACGCATCAAAGCAGTCAATCCAACACAGTCAAGAATAACTTAAAGAGGTTGCCACCGTTTAGTAAACTGAGGACTAGCTTTGGCTCTTCCTGCTGACTTGAATCAGTATTTGTGATCAAATAAATGCAACCTTGGTGAGCATAAGAGAATTCTTTCCAAAACATTCGAAATCTCTAATCTGTAGTAAACGTATGATGAAAATCACTATACAAATAAAGTTGACTAGATATCAAAATCTGTTATTAT